CAAGAGAAATTGTCTGTAGCATTTGATGATTTTGCAGCTGGTTAGTTGCTGCTATGTCTTGCATAACTTGAGCCAGCCTATTGGAGGAAGTCTCTAGAACTTATTGCCTGGTTTCTTAGTACTTGTCTTGTTCTTTGAAGGGAAAAATTAGTCAATTGCCGTTGATCCAAGTAACGATTCCTCCATAGGACAGATTTTAACTCTTATATTGTTGACCTTGACTGATAGTTTAATAGTGACTACGATCAACTTTGATGTCGTACTTGAGTTGAAGGGCTTTCCCTCCATCTGTCGAGTCAAGTAATTGGTTATCTCATCTTTTCCGCCTATTTTCTTCTTTTTTCTTTTGGGACTATTTTATGTTTAGGGGAGTAGATACTTGATTGTTGGGCCATCCGAAGACCTTCCTCTTTGTTGTTATCTGTATTCTGCTGTCTATAGTGTGACAATTGGTATGTATTTGCCGGTCTCGGGTCATGGTTAGTGCAGTTGATGACTTAATTTCTTGTGAGCTGAGAAGAGGAAACCATGCGGTTCCAGATGACTCATCAGGCGCTCGATGCTGGTCCTCTTAGTATCTCTTGCCGACTAAGCAATCCTATGATCTAATTAAATCTGCGAAGACTGAAGATTGAGGTTATGCCTTGCTATAGTCATGCCTGGTAGCATTGACTAGGGTAATTTATTTTCTCGATATTGTGTCGTATCTTGTGTTTAGTTGCAAAATAAGGCGTGGACACAATTTTACTGGGCAGTTCCCTTGAATTTCTTTTCTTTGCCACTAGTCAGTAATAGTTTTTCGGGGGAACAATACTCTTTTATCCCTTGAATCAAGCACTCCCTTCCCTTTTATGTCAAAACTTCTTATCCAGAAAAGTGAGGATTATTGATTCTTTATTTCTATTGCAGTCAACGATATGTCTTCTGTCGCTTTTGAATAAGTACTGCTAGCATGTGCAAACATAAAATTGTTTACAAGTTTCCCGTGAATTTGCTGCTTTTTTTTTTCGGTTTTAATTTTTGCATTCTGCTATTTTCTATGTATCGTGTAATTTGGGAAGTTATAAGCTCTTCTTGGAGTTATGTAACCTACACAATTTTTTTGTAATGTTAGTATAGTTTGACCTGTTTTAGCATGTACTTAGTGGTAGGGGTGTGCATTCGAATCGGTTTATCTATAAATCGAATCGATTATTTGTTATCGGTTTATCGATTTATTGATTTCGATTTCAAAATTTTCCTTATCGATTTATCGATTTCGATTTCGATTTTGTCCTCTTCGATTATCAGTTTATCGATAAACCGATAAGCTACAGTAATTTTTTTTTTAATTTTTTTTACCCTTATTCTATAATACCCTTTCCTTTACCCTAAGTCCCTAACCCTATTATTTCCTCTACCACATTTAAGGAATGATCATATTTAAAGCTCAAGTGAATGAAGTTCAAATTAATGGAAAACAGAATTAGCCGTGATGATGTATTTTGATTTTTTGTTTGTTTATACCGTTGGAGTGTTGGTGACATACATTTGATCCCTTACTTTAGTTTTGTTGCATGTGCTTGTTGACACAATTTTTATGTTATAAACGATGCTCTTCTTATTTTAGCTTCCTTTTGTCCATATTAGTTAGGTGTGTTTGTGGCGATATACTTTCCGTGGAATCCCGTAAATTTTCTTATTGGTGTAATCGATAACCGAATCGATATGCCCCAAAAATCGATAAATCGAAATCGAAAAAATCGAAACCTTATTTAAACGATAACGATAAGCATATGTACAAATCGATAATCGATAAGTAATTATCGATAAGGGTCAAAATCGAATCGATAAATCGAATGCATACCCCTACTTAGTGGTGACAAAATGGTTAAAAGAAAATAGTTATTCACCTATATTATCCATTAAAAATGGGGTGGATAATGAACTTTTTAAAAACGGATCAAATACGGATAAGAATCATATTATCCACTTAGACTAATCAATGCTTTTAACTTTTACATTTGTAAAGGCTCAAAATATGGGTTCCTAAAGTTTGGGAGACTAGAAACTCTCCAAAGTGACCATATTCAAGAAGCCATGAATAATATGGATATTCGTTATCTGTTTTTGATTGGCTCATATTTGACCCGACCCGTCCGTTTGCTGCCCTTGCATGTGCTTATCCAGTTATGTCGACCACCAACCTATAAAAATTATTCCCCCTCCATTTTAATGTATGTCAACTTATTTAACTAGTCATAGAATTTAAGAAAGAAATAGACTTAAAAAACTTGTGGCCTTAAACAAACTATAACATTTTTGTGCTTATAATTATTTTGAAACTTGTGATGTTACACATGCCAAAGTGTTTGTAAAGCTATGAAAGCTTCCCAGAGAATAGAAATAGAAATTTAAGTTAAATTATTTTCAAAATTTAGAAAGAGATTATTCTTTTGGAATGACAGATTGAGTACCTTGTTTTAGGATGCCTTATGGCGCGCTAAGACATAATAATTTGAGGGAAAATAGCACGGCGCGCCAGTTTTCGGACTGGCCATTCAAAAATAGTCAGCTTTTGCAAAGTAATTGAAAAATAACCACTATTTTGCTGTAACAAAGAAAGCTCCAGCATAATATACTGGAGATTGGTACACCTGTGTATAAACTTCTAGCATATTATACTGGAACTCCAACACGCGAAAAGTTCCAGCATAATATACTGGAGATTGGTACACCTGTGTATAAACTTCTAGCATATTATACTGGAACTCCAACACGCGAAAAGTTCCAGCATAATATACTGGAGATTGGAGCACCTGTGTATGAACTTCCAAAATACAATGCTGGGCCGATATATTATACTAGAACTCTAGTATATTATACTGGAACTCCAGTATATTCTACTGGAGTATTTTCTTGATTTTGGACAGTGTTTTTGTTCAGATTTGTTTAAATTTCGATTACTTTTGAAACTATGGTTATTTTTGAATTTCTCGCTATTTTTTCTACTTGAAAAAGGGTTTATTTTCTACTATTAAGTAAAGTCCATACCCATGTTATAATTTTATGCCATTTCAGTGCTATTTTAATAAAGTATTACCATTTCAGAAGGGAAAAAAAACTTATGCCATTTACTACAAGGTTCTTAATGTTTAGAGTTTACATATATTCTCTACTAGATTTTGAGGTGTAATCCCTTTGAAATTTTGATTTCGTTGTTGTAATCGATGTAGAGTATGTGATTTTAAGCTCATAAAGATGATAAATTGGTAATTAGTTTTTGAATCATTTTATAGTTTAACCGAAAAAAACAAAGGAGAAAACAGTAATTTCAGCTTGCACCTTTAATGTACTAACATACATTAGGTCTCGTCGGTTAAGGCAGCATGAAGAAACTATATAGAAGGTTGTGAGCTTATAAAATGCGCACGATATAACTTTTTGTGAAAACTAGATATAGTTGTCCGGTCACAGCACGAGCAGCACCCGGAATGCCTTTAAAGAACGATTTTATTATGTCGTATCGCATTCATATTGCATATGCTTAAAATTCTTTACTACTAACTTACTAGAAAAGAATCTCCTGACCTCAAGCAAATCTATATGAATAGAATTAACCTGTTAATTTTGAGCTACCATTTTATAGTAAAGTTTATTTATTTCATATCATATGTAATTGAAACAACAAGTATTGACATACTTTCTTTCTTTTCTTTGGCATGTAATATAATTCTAATCCGCTATCCGAATCACAAAAAAGAGGAATAACTTATCAGTAAAAATATATAGAATAGTTAAAGGCAGTTAAAGAGAAGAATGATAAGTGGGAAAAAAATATGTTCTTAATACATTGAATAAGAATGTTAGATTCAAATATATGTCAAACATATATGCTCAAAACATAAAGACTCATCAACTGAGATATCTTTCTATCATTTTTCTCATTCAACTGAAACATTTTCCATAGAATTTTAAGGAAAATACTGCAGAGGGCATAGAAATTCTGGTGCTTTCCCTATGGACACCCTGTGGACATGGATGGATATGATTCTCTTTTTCAGGTGGATTGCTGTTAGGGGTGGCAAATGGGCGGGTTAGGCTGAATTTGGCGGGTCAAGATGGGTTAGGTCAATAAATGGGTTATTGCCCAACCTGTCCAAAGTGTACTTGATCTAAGATGGACTGGGTCACAATGGGCTAAACAATTGGTCATAACCTAACCCGCCCAACTTGACCCATGTTTTAGAGTCATGCTCATCTTGCATAAAAAAGTCTTTTACCTTAAAATGTATAAGTTGAAAGATATTTTACGAGTGGGGGTGGGGGATTGAGGTGGGTGGGTGGTGCAGANGGGAGTTTGCGGGTAAGGGGGTAGGGGTAGTGTGGCTGAGTGGTGTAGAAAGACAAAAGAACAGAAAATTGAAAATACAAAAAAAAAAAAGTAAAATTGGGACAACTAAATAAATTTCTAGATAACTTGGGTTGAGATCCCTTTGTTTTGGGCGAGTTTCATGGGTTGTATTTGGATTCCTTAATGGGTCAGAATGGACTATAAAAAATAATGAGTTAACTTGGGTTCAGCCCAAATTGATCCATGAGCTAATATGTTTGTAGCCCAACCCATTAATCTTTGGGCGGGTTGGATGAGTTTGGGCTCAAATTGCCACCCATAATTGCTGCAACTAACAAGAAAAGGTTAATATTGATTTATATGCAAAAACTATATTTTTACCATCTCTAACAAAAGATCATTCAATTCTCTACTTGCTAATTCTTTCTAAATTCTTAAGTATGTACTGATAGAAACATGCCTCTCTACCTTCATAAGGTAGGGGTAAGGTCTACGTATGCACTACCCTCCCTAAACCCCACTTGTGAGATTACACTGAATTTATTGTTGTTGTCAATAAATTCAAGTTCTTTATTCTAAGATTAATATCATTACTTTCTATATTTGAATTGCTCATGCACATGAAAACACTAACTTCTTGTGGATCAATTGATAGGTTGTGATCAAGTTGAAAGAACAAACACGTTGGTGGAACTTTTTCTAAAAATAATAAATGTAGGCTCTCTCCTACAATATCGTGGTAATTAACAACCAGAGAGAGAGCGAGTGATATTGATGAATGAGTCTAGTTACTTTTTAGTTATAGGAGTACTAGTACAGTCATCTTACTTCTTAGTTTAATGTGTAAATTTGGCTAGTTTTCTGTACAAAGGTTATTATTGGAATAAATAATCTTTCTTGACATTCTTTTCAGCTATTTTCTTGACAGCAAGACGCTCCCTAAAAAGAATGGCTGGCTTGACTCTTGAGTGAGACAAACATCATGTGAGGCTAGCCACAAAAAATAGTTGACTTTATAGGGCGCCTTCGACTTCCATAACTGTTTCCAAGGCCAAACTATGTTGCTGTCCCCTTCACTGTTTCATGCCCTGTATTAACAGAGGAGATTCTGTCTAATCCATTGTATAGTGTAAGGTTCTTATTCATTCAATGCCACCTTCTCTAAATCCTGCGATAGTAGCGCCATTCCGGGAACTTCCCAATATCTGCAAAGCTCTTCAACTTTGATTAATCTCAAATCCATTCCGACAATCACTTCAACTTTGATTAACCTCAAATCCAATCTTCCCCACCTTCCACAACCAACTGATACCAAATTAAAATCGCGTTCATGAGATTTACATTCTTGCTCACAAGTTCCATGAAAATTTTCTTCAACTTTGTCCAAACCAAATCCAAGAACCCAACAATTTTTCATATGCTACAACACTTCATATTTACACTATTCCCATATTACAACCCTTTATCTTTGCAATATATCGCTATATAGCATATTCTCCACAGTTTCTCCATGAGCGGGAAGAAGGGGAGCCTTGGCGTACCTGGTAAAGTTGCTGCGACCAGGAGGTCACAGGTTCGAGCCGTGGAAATCCGGCCCTTATCCGGACCCCGCGCATAGCGGGAGCTTAGTGCACTGTGCTGCCATTTTCTCAATGACCGGGAAGTGGTCCCAAAATCTGTAACCTAGAGTTTCATCCCAGGCGAATTATGTCCTCAATACATCTATCCTAGTATGGTCAATCATGCAGGACCTAAAACTCATTTGGTTTGATAACACAACTGCAACTAGATCTTTGACACACTTAGAACTACCACTAGAATCTTTTTCATGCTCATTGATGAATGACTACCACCAACAGAACAATCAACTAGCAAATGAAGAGAAGGTAATGGCAGCCATATGTCATTAACATATACCTTTGACGTCAAGTTCACATAAGATAGGCATATGCGTAATTGTTTTGGTGCGCTTGTCTCAGCATAGTAGTCCCTGAAGAAAAAGCATTAGGTTTAATTTTCAGCTATTAACGAAACAAGAATTTCACCAAAAAAAAATTATAACTTGGAGGCACAAGGAAACAAAATAGACATCATTGAGTAAAGCATTTGATACCATTATATACCGGATAGGGAACGGAT